CTGCCAGTCCAGGCAGATTAAATCAGGGTTAAACCAACACTCAGTCCTGTCACGGAAAACTGTCTACCAGGTAAGTTGTCTGTACTGCAATCCCTTGTAATAAAGGATCCTTAAACAGTAAGCAGCTACCTTTTTATTAAAGAATTATAGAATCCTTTTTATCTATTATAGATCTCTTAATCATCCTACTTACTTAAATCAAGCATTCACCAGTAAATGCTTCAACAGAAATGCAATTAAATATAGACAAAACCAGCAGAGGCCACTCACGAGTAGGTCAGGTTTCCATTTTGCTAATTAAGTTAGGAATTTGACTGTGAAATCTCTTATTAAGCCCTAAATCAGACCATACTTTGGGTCTCTAGGGCCTGAAAACATTGCCTTTTAGTCTCAGTATTCACAATAAGGAATGACAGGCATCTTTAAGAGGTATGCACCCTGATCATACTAATCAGTCTCCATGAAAACATTACAGCAAGCAAATGTCTCTAAATAAGTAGGAGATAGGGTTTCTGCCGTAAATTTGTCTATGCAGGTGTTCAAGGACACTTTCAATACCTAAACCTCTGATCTAACGCAGTGGTGAAGTCCTAGGAAGCCATAAATTAGTGTTAATGGCATTGGTGGGTTGTGTTTTTTTTTTTTAATCTTAACAGCATACTGACTAGTGTACTAGACAGAGGCACATAAACCATCCTTAACTGATTACAGATAGATTAACTGAAACACCCTAGTCTCTGTGCAGCCAACTTTCTAAAGAAAGATTAGTCTTTCGCATCTTTACACCAGTTTTGCAGATTATTTTAGACATTAAGAGCTTTATTCAGATAGTTCCTGAACTTACCAAGTTTTGAAAGAGTATTTGGCTATACGATTTTCCCCTTCTGGTCTGCAATCCTGGAAACTTCAGGCAGACGATAGTGTAAAGAACTCAATCTGCAGCACACTTTAAAAGGTGAAATGTACATAAACAGTGATAGCTTATTCAAAAAGCTTCATCAGTTACCACATTTTCCTAGAATTGAATAGTCTGGTCAAATCAGTTTCCTCTAAATTCTGGTTTAGAGTGAACACAATCATGTTAGTAGTAGAAGGAAAAAATCCTTTATCCACATCCTCCGCCTATAAAGATCATTTTATGTTTTGTGATTGCCAATAAATACACTGATTGGCCACACTGGAGAACATTACCATTAGACCTGAGAACATCTGTTACATAAGTCTCTTCATTCAAAAGTCTGAAGAAGACTCTCACTTTTGGAAATAGATTTGTAGTAGACAGGACAAAACACATTTGTTTCAAGTCATGTAGCAAAGAGTTCCTGCTGTAGGAATCTTCATTTTGTCAAATTCTGCCCTCTCATCTATGCAATTACCAGCACAGACTTTCAAAGGGAGTCATAATTCAGTTTCTCTAAAACATTATCTAAAAAGTCACTTTCTCTTCTGTGATCAGAGCTTTTTTCCTATCAACTTGCTTACCTAACACATCATCAGAGGCATGTAAAATTAATTTGTTGCCAATTAAATATCAGTAGAATTCAGCATAGGATTGGAAATTTAAACTTTCTGGGTAAGGTAAAAACACATACTTGGAAAACTGGGAGAGATACATATATGTATTAACTTGTGCTCCAACTACTAGCACCCAGTACATCTCATTCTTCAATTATACAGAAACTCAGAACCTAAAATTCCAAACCATTCAACTTAATAAGGCCAAATATCTTTCTTAACAATAGCCACCTACGTACACTACTGTGACTGAACACCTGCTACCCAGCTAATCCATTGAGTGAAGAAGTATATCTTACTTCAACATGTTTCCTATAGTTTCTATATTCCTCTTAAAGGGCTTAAGAAAACCTTTGGGTTTCAAGTCCCTCTCTAGCCAAAGCGAAAAGGTAAGAGCCACCTCATTCAAGATGTGATTAAACCAGACTTTTACTTTTGATGTAAATTTACAAAGTAGAAAAAATACTGGAAGAGGAAAAAAAAATTGTCACAAGTTGTATGAAACTACAAAGTTGTAAAATTTTTGAAAAGCATACAAAAGGTTTGTATTTCCATTTCTATTACGTCAACATCAGGATTTACCAAAATCTATATACCTTTGCATCAAATCGCTAGACTGACAGTCAACTTTTCTACAAAAGTATATGTAATGAAGGTGTTTAGTTTCATCAGTTCCAGACTGTTACTACAAAACTGTACATCTGAATATTTAATGCTACTGACTTAATACTTGAACCCGTCTACCTGTGTTTAAAAAGATGTTATTTCATGTTTGCCTTACAGGTTAAAATGTCAATTTTCACTGAAGTTAGAGGTAAGACTTCAGATATATTTCTTTTACACCTGATGCAAAAAGAGCTTAAATATCAGGCTAAGATTTCCCCAACCCAAAGGAATGAAAAACATCTCAAACTTCCTCCAAATGCTCTTGCATCCAAAAAGGCCAACTTCCAACTTAATGCAGCGTTGTGATGTGCTGTCTATCTCCAGGAGTTCCCTCTCTGGATCCAGAATTGTTTCAGCAGAAGACACTAGGGTCCTTCATTCTTCCAGCAGAACAGTGCACAGTGCATCCTCTGTATCGATCATTATTGAAGCTATTGCCCCGTCATTGAACTCAAAAGATGTTCCTCCATCTACAACCATACATGCATCCCAACAACGGGAACGGACACAGACTCTGCAAAAAGCCAAAAAAGTAAGTTTTCACAAACAGCTTAAAAAAATTAAGTATTTCACACAAGCACTTATCTGAACAATAAGACTGGTTCTTGGACATTCCTTTGCATGGGTCAGTGAATGCTTAATCACACAGGAGCATACTTAGAAAAGAATTTAGCATGGTACTAAGCACTAGAATCCCCCAACCTATCAGTACTTTGTATAGACGTAGCGAAGAGTCCACAGAGGACTGAAGGACTTGTTCAAATGGAGACTATCGCTCCAAGAGTCTGAGAATAACCTGTAACATAACACTTGATATTGAAAGCTGCAGTTCAGGTGTATTTTTTAAAGAAAGCTTCTGATGATCCCATTTAATAGTGATTTGCTCAATCTTTCACAGAAAAGTTTTCAGTTAATTTATGATTCTAATGTATGGTCTTCATGTTAAGTGGAACATGCAGTTTCAACTAGCGATGCTTGAGATTCGAGTAATTTGGATATTAATATAGTCTATCTTGTCACATGAATCATTCACACAGAGAAGGGAAAGTAATTTCAAACACAAAGTTGAAGGTCAGAATGCTTGCCAGGCAACATCATAAATACGTATTGCAGCATATCACTGTCAATATTGACTACTGTATCTTTAAGCTAATAAATTTAAATTTAAGCTTATAAAATTTAAGGCAGCTCTTTTAGAGCTGGACAAGACAGAATAAAGCTACTAACCATCTTCCTCTTCGCTTACCTTTAAAAGGAAAATTAACTCAACTGTTGGAATGTATCCTTTCACATACGTAGAAAGCAAGAACACTATTAAATAAAGAGTTCTCCAAACTTTTTTCATATTGCTAGATGGGAACCAATAGTTATGCCAGACAAGCTGCAAGACTGCAGTCTCACATGGATGTACTTGATTGTTTCTGACTTAGGCCTTGGTCTAGACACTGTTCTGATCTCCAAAAT